TCATACTGCCTTGTGTTTTCATATTATTTATGGTTCCATGCTAAGATTTATGTATCTGTTGGGGCGGATATCTCTTCCACTTTTACGTGAGGGCTGTCTTAATAAGCAACCTTCTCTTAACAATGTGTTTGAAGTATGGTTTTATTGTGTAGTGTTGAGTTTTATTCCAATTGGGTTTCATAGTATACTCTCCCTATGGCTTCTTTGGCTGTGATTAGTAAGTTTTGACACAAGGCACACTGTATCAGAGCCTGAGGAATGCTTAATATGTAGTTCGTGAAACAGTGGGTCTCTCTGGTAATTTAGGCTGATGTGGCATACACCACAGACCATGAGGGATGCACCCTTGTGAATACTCCTACATTGGGAGTGGAAGCCCTTATCATGTGGTAAGGGTTTCCATTGCCACTATTGAAATTGGCTCTGTTAGGTGAAAGCAATTCTGATATTGACTCTTTCAACTGGGGTGAAGGACCTGAAGCTTTCATCCTCTGTTTAGCCCTTAGTATACTTCCTGGTGTTTCACATGGAGAGCCACAGGCTGAGATTAGAACCCACCCTCTGCAGCACTCATGTCCAGGTTGACAGGATGTAGGAGCAAGTGATGTTGAGGAACCTCATAGGTGTCATATCCACATAGAAGTATTATTTCTCTTTGCTCTTATATGGGGTGACTGTCGAGGAACAGAACATCAGACCCCTCTAATTGTGCACACTTGTTATCATATCATTGTTTAGGGGCATTCTTTAAGTTGATGTATCTGCCAAGATTCAGGCAGGATTGGGTCATGCTAGATGCAGTTCCTCTCAGCTGGGCTGGAAGCGTAGCTCAGTGACAGTGCAGCAACCCAATATCTGCTAATTCCTGGGCTCAGTCCCCAGTTTTGAAAAAAAAGGGGAGGGGGTAAAAACAATAACCGAAAAGAAAGGGTAAAAAAATAGAATATATATGTGTGTGTGTATTAATGTTTTAGTTGTAGATGGACACAATATCTTTATTTTATTTATTTTTATGAGGTGCTAAGGATCAAACCCAGTACATCACACATGCCAAATGAGTGCACTACCACTGAGCCACAACTCCAGCCCCAGAATAAAAATATTTTTATAAAAGGAAAAGAAAGCAGGAGAAAAATTTAAAAAAATCACAATTATAAAAGGGAAGAAATGAAAAAGAGAAAAATAAAAATAATAGCATACTGGCTAAGGGCTCTTCAGCCCCCAATTCTTTTCATCGTGGTGCTCTCCAGGTGACTGGCAGGAATGCTTTGTGGCTGAGGCTTTTAGGAGTCCCTCTAAGCTGCTTTGCACACTGGACTGAGCCACCACAGAACGTATAACTCACTAAGCAACAATCTCTTCCTAGTCTCTTGGGCTACACATCCCAGGGTGAAGCCAAGCCTCTGCCTTTAGGCAGAGATTCTTCCCAGAGTTCCTTGGGTTGTATGCTTCAAGGGACAAACACTAGTGCATGTCACCAGGAGCGCGGCAGGTGGGGAGAGGCCATGGGGTTCAAAGATCTATGCTGGGAGCAGAGGTAGCAAGTTCCATGAGATCTACCATCCATTTTGCTAGAGCCCCAATTTTGGATTTGACATGAAATCACACTCAAGGGATCAGCCTCACGCTACCACCATTCTAACAGCAGATCTCCCAAACTGTCAACTGTCAAGAAAGTACCTTCCACACCACAGACTGCAATTCCCACCACATAGAATTCTGAGCGGATTTGTGCAGAAGTCTTGCACCTGAGCCAAAACTGTCTCCTGGAATAAATGCCCACTGAGCCTGGGATAAGAAAAGGCCATTGGATCTTGGAGCTAGAAAAATGCAGGTACTTCTGATCCCCTTTACAACAAGTCAAACAACAGAACCCTTCTCAAGATGGCTCCCAGTTATGGCACTGTATGTATAAGCAGGAAATGCAGAGATCTTCTCTCGCACCAGCATGCTGTGCAGATCCCAGGTCTCTTGTCTCTTTCAAATTGTCAGATTCTAGGCTTGTGGAGATCACCAGGGCTCTGTCCTCCTCACCTGTACTCCTGCTGGCGGGGAACTCCCCCTCCCCCTGCTAAGCCTTCAAGCCTGGGTGCCGGGACACTGTTCTCTTACTACACTAATATCTAATATATCTGGGTTTCACCTGGTCACTGAATCTCTACTATTGCATGCCCACACTTTCCTATGACCACCCACCTCAACATGCAGCTACATGCCTGTTGTTCTGGTTCTGTCTTACAAGAAGCAGAAGAGTCCTCTAACCTGCCATCTGTGTGCTTTTCTCACTCTCTTTCTACCTCCAGATACTGTGAGTCTTGCCCAAGGTGGGCTTCACAGATTGTCAGGTTGCACATGGCTTCAATCACATCTAAATAGCTCAATTTAACTGTTAGAGATCATTTTTTTAAAGAAGATACCTTTTCCTTGGCTGTTTCCAAATATATCAGTTTTGGTCTATATGTGACAACTTTCTTGGATATGGAAAAAAAACTCATGTTATATGCCATTTGCTGCTTTGGTCTAAAGCTTCACTAATACTTTCCACATATCTCAGCAGAAGTTAAAGTCTTTAAATAAATATACAAATAAGGTGACAATAACATACTTTTTCATTAAAGAGAAGTGACAAGGAAAGAACAAGCAAAATTCTTTGAAAGTGTCTTCTGTGAGGACAGAAGACTAGCTCAGATTCAGGTAAAGGGCAAGAATGACAGCTGAAGAAGTTTCCCATCCTCTCTTCTCATCTTTTTTTTAAAAAGTATTTTCTAGTTGTAGATGAACTCAATACCTTTATTTTGTGTATTTATTTTTATATCTTGCTGAGGATTCAACCTAGCACCTCACAAGTGCCAGGCAAGTGCTCTACCACTAAGCTACAAACCCAGCCCCTCTTCTCATCTTCTTAATGCTACTGTCTAGAGCCCTAGTCCCATCTTGGGTAACCATGGTAACTAAAGAGCCAGACTCTCCTAATGCTTAAGGAAATATAAGAGGGAGCACTTAAGAAGGCTGCTGTGGTTCCTCCTACACCTGATGGACAGGGGAGAACAAGATGCTCAGTCAGTGTCTCTCAGAGAAACAGCAGAATCTGGTACTAGCGCACTGCTAATGATTTGAAGTTTAAATGTTCTTGAAAAGTTCATATGTTAAAGGTTTGGTCCCCAGCTGATGGCTCTGCTAGGAGGTGGTAGCACTTTTAGGAGGTGGGGCCTAGCTGGAGGAAGTAAGTCATTGGTGTGTGGTCAGAAAGGGTACATTTGGATCCCTGCTCCTTCCTTTTTTTTCTCTCTGTGCTTACCAGTTATGAGCTGGGCTGGGGATGTAGCTCAGTAGTAGAGCACTTGCCTACCATGTCAAAGGACCTAGGTTTAATTCCAGCACCACATAAAAAAAACGATAATAATTTAAAAAACAAAAGCACCAGATGCCATGAGCTGAGTGTCTCTGCTCCACCGTTTGTTCCCACCATGATGTTCTGTCTTACCACAGGCCAAAAGTAATGGGGTCAGCTGACCAGGGACTGAATCTTTGAAACCACGAGCCAAAATAAATCTTTTCTCCTTTCAAGTCATCGGAAGTGTTTTGTCACATGACAGAAAGCAGACTAACACAAACACCTGAGAAGTTAGTTCATTCTACTTACAGATTTTGAAATTGAGGAAGCTGAGGCTGAATCTTCCTTAATTAATATTACTTGGTACCCTCGGTACCTTTCTGGCAAAAACACAACCCTGTTGTCCTCATATAGCACTGCTTTCTGTCCACCGATTCCCAGGGCCTTTTAATCCAGGAAGCTACCCAGCACTGAAAAGGACCCAATAACCAAGCCACCATTAATTCCCCCAAGGCGAGTCTCACTTCTTTTGCCATTTTTAGAAATTATAGGTATATTCCAATACGTATAATAGAAAGCTGAGAATAATCAAACCCCGGTACATATTGTCTACTTAAACAATCTTCAATTTATCACTCTGGAAAGAGAATTTTGAAACAAATTTTGGGTATCATTATTTCTTGTTAAGTAGTAAATACTTAAAGAAATCATGTAGCTACAAATGCATCAGGCACTTTTCTTCAGGGAGCTTAGGTCTCTACTGCATACCCTTCAGCTGTGCGTATATTTTCTATTTAATTTCACAGCTCTAGTGCTAGTGGCCAGTTAGCAAGACTACTAAGTTGCTCTGTGACCCTATATATGCACTGACAATATTAGACTTTCATGCAGTGAGGAATTCTGGTGAAGGGATTGTTTGGACAGTAAGAAAATTGAACTTATGTCAAGAGATAAACACATTTCTTCCTTAAAGAAAAACCATTGACATTGAGCACCTGCTAAACTGGGCTTAGATCTGGCCTGAGATTTAAAGTCAATTTCCTCCATGAGTCCATATGAAAGGCACTAAGCAATGTAATTCTTAATTTTAATAAATCCACAAATTTTCACATCAATGGGATTATGGCTGTCCTAGGGCAGAGATGATTTACTTGTCCTAAGGACAGAATGGAAGTTTAAAATTAAACAATAAATACAGCAATACTTTTCTTTTGTACAGCCACTGAATTCTTGCCCATAGGAAAAAAAATACATCAAAAAAGACTGTATTTAGAAGTTTTAATTCACAAATAAGACTGTACTACTGAACTAAGTAAATAGGGATGTCATTGTGAGTATATACAGAAACATGGACGCCCGTCACCATAATGTGGATAAGTAACATTTCATTTCTAATCTTCTCTTCTGCTTCCTCCTCCTCACACCTTAGTTTTCTATATGAATTTACAAATATATATTTTAAAACAAGAATATATTAAAGAGTCAATACAAAAATAGGGGAAGCCAGAACTCTTAAGTTATGTTATCCTTAAATTTTATTCATTTGGAAAAATTCATTCCAAATATGAACGTTTTTCTGAATAGAAGTCCGCAAAACACAGTTTTCTACCTTTTGAAAACTTGGAACATTTTATCCTGTCTTGCAACACAGTTCAGACACTCATACCTGCTGAGGTTTCTCTGAATTTGTCACTAGTCTTCTTTTTCCTCCATTTCCAAGGCTTGAAGATTTTACCAATGGTGGAGAGCTTCCCCTTTCTCTTGAAGGGAGGCGTCTGGGAACCTGCTGTGGGGCCATCTGAGTTGGCTATAGAGGCTTTGTCCAGTCCATCAACTATAGAAAGAAAAGTCAAATCAGAGAAAGGCTTCAATGAAAGTTAAAACCAGCATCAACTATCTCTTCCTGGACTCTTAACAGCAAGCATACCTACTCTGATTGAACCTCACATAAAGTTGAGTTTGTCCCATTTCACAGCTGGTAGGACTCCCCTGATATCAATCAGTTAATCAATCCGTCAGAAATTATAGTCCCCTTAGGTAATGGTACTTGGGAAATAAGAAAGCAAGAGACTTACATAACAGGTGGGGACAGACAAGTGAAGTTCTGCAAAACACAGCTGAATCCATCGGCAACAACCACATCAATATTTTGTGCAGAAATAGAGGATTCTAAGTATTCCAGAAATAGGATGTTCCTCTGGAGGCTAGTTTGGCATTCTCAGTAATGAATATCACAGTTATGGTGTAGTTAAAACCATAGTTTCTCCTTCACAAAATACAATTTGATGCCAGGAAGCTAAACGCTATTTTTACAATGCTAAAACTATCTTTTGCTCCTGTTACAAGGGAAAAAAAATTAAAAGTTTTCAGCTTCAATTTATCTGATAACTATCACTAACAGCAAGAAATATGTGGAAGATGCAGGTATTGTGTGTGATAAAACATATCTTGATATGCCTTTGTCATTTTATTAATCAGAAGAAAAGCACAAAATCTTGTTTCCTTGCACTAAGTTCTAAACAGAAGGGAGATAACAATGACTTACATTACCCCAACTACCAGATTTTAGTGACAAAGAATTAGAAGCAGCCCAGAATGGATAAACTACAGTATTATTCATTCAATGAAATAGCTTTTAGCACTTTAAAAAATGAGCAGATGGATAAATATGCAATAAAACTAAATACAGCAAAATGTTAAGTGTTGGATCTAGGTGCTAGGTCTGTGGGGGAGGTATGATCCTTTTGTCTTTTCTGTATTTTTTGAAAATTCGCATAATAACACATTGGGAAATCATATGATCAATCTCAATAGATGCAGAAAAAGCATTTGACAAAATACAGCATACCTTCATGTTCAAAGCACTAGAAAAACTAGGGATAGTAGAAACATGCCTCAACACTGTAAAAGCTATATATGTGTGTGTTAAACCCAAGGCCAGCATCATTCTAAATGGAGAAAAATTGAAAGCATTTTCCAGTGGAAAATGGAAACAAGACAAAGATGTCCTCTTTCATCACTTCTATTCAACATCATGCTTGAAACTCTAGCCAGGGCAATTAGACAAAAGAAAGAAATTAAAGGGATACAAATAGGTAAAGAAGAACTCAAACTATCACTGTTTGCTGATGACATAATTCTATATCTAGAAGATCCAGAAAATTTATAGAATTAATAAGTGAATTTAGCAAAGTAGCAGGATATAAAATCAACACCCATAAAACAAACACATGCCTATATATCAATGATGAATCCACTGAAAGAGAAATTAGGAAAACTACTCCATTCACAATAGCCTCAAAAAACAAAACAAAACAACAACAACAACAAAAGAATCTGGGAATCAATCTAACAAAAGAGGTGAAAGATATCTGCAATGAAAGCTACAGAACACTAAAAAAAGAAATTGAAGAAAACCTCAGAAGATGGAAAATCTCCCATGCTCCTAGATAGGCAGAATTAATATTGTCAAAATGGCCATACTACCAAAAACATTATATAGATTTAATGCAATTTCTATTAAAATCCCAATGACATTCTTCATAGAAATAGAAAAAGCAATCATAAAATTTATTTGGAAAAATAAGAGACCCAGAGTAGCTAAAGAAATCCTTAGCAAGAAAAGTGAAGCAGGAGTCATCACAATACCAGACCTTAAACTATACTACAGAGCTGAAGTAACAAAAATGGCATGGTATTGGCACCAAAATAGACTTGTAGACCAATGGTACAGAATAGAGGACACAGAGACAAACCCACATAAATACAGTAATCTCATACTGGACAAGGGTGCCAAAAACATTCACTGAAGACAAGACAGCCTATTCAACAAATGGTGCTGGCAAAACTGGAAATCCATATATAGCAAAATGAAATTAAATCTCTATCTCTCACCCTGCACAAAAATCAACTCAAAGTGTATCAAATACTTAGGCACTAGAACAAAGACCCTGTGCCTAATAGAAGCAAAAATAGGCCTAAATCTTCACCACGTCGACCTAGGATCTGATTCCTAAAGCACAAGAAGTAAAATCAAGTCACAATAAATGGGATGGATTCAAATTAAAAAGCTTCTTCTCAGCAAAGGAAACAATTAATAATGTGAGGAGAGAGCCTACAGATTGGGAGAAAATCTTTACTACATGCACTTCCAATAAAGCATTAATCTCTAGGATATATAAAGAACTCAAAAAACTTAACACCAAAAAAACCAAATAACCCAATCAATGAATGGGCTAAAGAACTGAACAGACACTTCACAGAAGAAATACAATTTATCAACAAATATATGAAAAACTGTTCAACATTTCTAGCAATTAGAGAAATGCAAATCAAAACTACTCTAAGATTTCATCTCACTCCTGTCAGAATGGCAATCATCAACAATACAGGCAACAATAAATGTTGGTGAGGATATGGTTAAAAGGTACACTCATATGTTGCTAATGGGACTGCAAATTGGTACAACCACTATGGAAAGCAGTATGGAGATTCCTCATAAAACTGGGAATGTAACCACCATTTAACCCAGCTATCCCACTCCTTGGTTTATACCCAAAGGACTTAAAATCAACATACTACAGTAATGCAGCCACATCAATATTTATAGCAGCTCAATTCACAATAGCTAGACTATGGAACCAACCTAGGTGTCCCTCAATAGAAGAATGGATAAAGAAAATGTGGTATATATACTCAATGGAAATTACTCAGTTTTAAAGAACAGTGAAATTATGGCATTTGCCAGTAAATGGTTGGAGTTGGAGAATATTATGCTAAGCAAAATAAGCCAATCCCACAAAACCAAAGGTCTAATGTTTTCTCTAATTTGCGGATGCTAATTCACAAGAAGGCAGAGGGCACTAGGGAAGAATAGTGTTACTTCAGATTAGGTAGAGGGAAGTGACAGGAGGGGAGGGGATGTGGGGATAGGAAAGATAGTAGAATGAAACAGACATTATTACTGTGTGTACATATGTGACTACATGACCAATATGATTCTGCAACATGTAGACTCAGAAAAATGAGAAATTATACCCCATCTATGTATGGTATATCAAAATGCATAAATGCATTCCATTGTCATGTATAAGTAAATAAAACAAATTTAAAAATTTAAAAAGAGAAACAAATAAAAACCAAAAATTGAATAGCAAAGCTTTGTACTTCCAGGAAGATGCAGGAAGCTTACTTATCACTATTTCTCTTGCTAACTCCATTACATCAAGACACTGACACAAACAACAGGAATGCATCTCAAAAAAAATTGTGCTGAAAGGGCAGAGAGAAAGAGTGCATGTGTGGTTCCATTATATAAAGGTCAAAACAGGAAAAATGAATTTATGGCAAAAACAAGCAACAACAATGCCAAAAACAAACAAACAACAATAACAACAACAAAAACCTAAGAAAATCAGAATAATAATTCCTTCTGAGGATGAGAAGGAGGTAGGAATTAATTGAAAAGGGAGTTGAGGGAACTTATGGGGGTGATGGAATTTTAATAGTGGTTGGATTATGCAAAACTGACCAAATGGTATTTATGACTTTGCGCATTTCACTTTAGGTAAAATTTACCTTAGAAAAGCCATAAAAAGAGTAAAATCTAATTAATGACATGCCTGCTAAAGTGTTTAGAGGTTAGCTGTACTTATATCCATCAAAAAATGAGTAAATGGATAAATAAGTGGATCAATAGATGAAATGAGTAAATGGATAAATGTGCAATAAAATGAAATAGAGAAAAATGTTGTGTTGAGTCTAGGTGGTAGATATGTGGGGGGAGTATCATTCTTTTATTTTTTTCTGTAGTTTTTAAAACTTTTATGATAAAATGTTGGGGCAAAACAATTTTTTTTTCTTTTAAAGCAGAAGCTGAACTTGCAGCAAGTGTTCCTGCTTCCAGAAAGATGGAGTACAGTTACTTATTCCTATGTGTCTTGCTGAACATCATCACCTCCATGTCATATATTTAACAAATGTAAGAAGACTGTGAAAGGTGAAGTAACAGTAGCGCAGTCTGGGACCTCAAAACTCAAGAACCAGCATGCGGTGAGATTCCCTAGATTTGCTTCTAGCCTTACACACCCCACACTTGCAGCTAAAGAAGATGGCAACCCAGAAACACAGCCAATGGGCTCAGGTCAGAAGAGCCTCTCTCTAGCCATGGGTCCAAGGAAGGGGGTACCTAGCAAGACAGAAACTCTGTAGATGGTAATTGCTCTGAGTGGTCAAACATCACAGAAGGACTGTGACCACCATGCCAGAAAAAGTTGAGTGGAGGAACTACACTTGCACTCTCACTGGGCTCCAACAAGGGACCCTAACACCCCTGAGGGAGTTGGAGTCAGAATCCAGTCTTGTGAGAAAAGACCAGCTAGGGAGCCAGGACCTTCACATCTGCCATCTGCTAATGAACCACCCCAGGAGCATGGATTTCCACTCCATCCACAATAACCAAATGTTACTCCCAGTACTGGGCTGGTGTCAAAACACTGCCCACTGGGAACAAGGTCACCATCCCTTTGGGTCCTTGAAGACCATGTGGGTATCTGACAGTCCCACACCTACCCAACAGTAATGAGGACCCCCCACCCCCATACACAGTGTGCCAACAGAGAACAAGAAGGGAAGATGGATTCTAACTCCACAGGGGAGTGGGAGAGGGGAGTGGGGACAAGGGACACTCACTGCTTGCCTGGCAGAAGAAGTGTCAGACAAAGCCAATGAAAGCAGGTTTCAATAAAGTCTAGAGTCTTGTAACATAATATAAATAAGTTTAAGTTCCAGTGGGGCAGGAAGGGGGGTGGAAATCACTTGACATACCAAGAACCA